ATATTCTAATACACCTTTATCCTTGAACTATTCAAAAGATTGACAAGTACCTGCTGCCAATAAATTTATATAACATTGGAATATAATAATCAAAATCATCAAAGATACCTTGATAGAAGCCCAAGATCAACAGACAAAATATATCAACTAATACCAATGCTATCTTACATTTAAAGAAGAAGATCAAGTATTACTTTTAATACACTATATCAACAATTCTATTGATAGAAATCAACTAATCAAAAAGCTTACACCAAGATTTGCAAAACCATATACTATTGTCAAGGTTATCTTTGAAACAGCATACAAGTTGAACTTACCAGCTACACTGAAGATCCATTCAGTATTTCACGTGTCATTATTTAAGTCTTACAAGCACCTACCACAAGAATTTGAATAAGCAACACTATCACCACAAGAATTTGGACAAGCAACACTATCACTAACCATTATTATTTCAGAAACCAAACAAGAGAAATATAAAGTTGAAGCCATCTTAAATAAACAAATCATATAATACAAGTCATAATATCTCATCAAATAGACTGGATATCTCTTTTATAACGTCACATAGGAATTACTTGAAAATCTGACCAACATTCAAGAAAAACTTCAAGAATTTGAATCGATGAGGACATTGAATTTTAAAGAGAAGAGAATGTAACAATTTTGGATTACATTCTATGGAATCCAGATTGCCCTGATAACTCAAATTCTCCATATTAGCTTAATCAGCCTGATTAGTCACATGTGAATGACACAATACAAGCCTCTGACGATACAATCCCATAGTTATATATATACATTTCCTAACTCAGAATGACTATGAAACAACTATGAAATAATATTATTATATATAGATAAACTTAGCTATAGTCGTGTTTTATTCATTTATATGTTTACTTTATTTATTTTATTTATTTTCTTATTTTTCTATTTCTATTTTTCTTTTATATGTACTTTTCGTATCAACTCAAAATATATAAAAAGGATGCACTTTTGACCTGAATAAACTTAACTTTTTGTTTGAATTCAATAAATATTTCTTTTTAAATTTACTATCTAATTGAAATCATTCATAATTTTATTATGACTTTTACAACTATTATTGATTATATTAATTTAATTCCAGAAAAGATTAAGAGTATAGTTGAGATTGCTGTCTAAGGCCTTTTTTATAATGGTTTTCTTGAAGCAAGGTTATTTCTCTTCTAATAAAGAAAACCATCATTAAAGTTGTTTTGAGTATTGTTTTTGTGGTTATTGATAGTTAAAAAGGCTTAAGTGTATAAGTAAAGAGGAAAACAAGACTTGTTATTACTTGTTTGAAGTTAATAAATATTATATCTACTATTGAAGAATTGTCACTATTATTTGAGTTTTGTAAGAAAACAATTCAAAATTTGAGAAAGTTAGTTAGAGAAGAAATGGAGATATTTGTGCTAGTTCAGTAATTTGAATATTGTTTGTATTAGTTTTCTTGTAAACTACAGAAAATAAATAGTTAACTGTATTTATAATAACAATATCAAGAAGAATATGGAATGGATTTAAAAATTTGTTCTTGAAAGTAAGGCTTCCAAGAGCACTTGCTGTTTTTTTTCTTCTTTGACTACTTCTAAAAAAAGATTTATAGGAATAAGTTTTTTTTTATTAATAAGTATTATAAAAATAATATAAAATAAAAAGATATATAAATTTGACAAATTTGTAAAATTTGTTATAATATTTCAATAGATAAATATTTTAATGTCTTGTAATTTTAAGAAATTTATTATTATTATTATTATTTTATTGTTCAATATGTTATTGTACTGATTATAAAAAATTAAAAAACCAAAAAAAATCAAAAAAGTCACAAATTTGTTGCCAAGTTATCTTTTTAGGCAACTCTATCAATTAGATTAATAAGGTAACTATTTTAAGTTACTGCTGTTAATTGATTCTTTTCTAACAATAGTTTATAAAAACAAAATTAATTATAAAATCTATAGAAATGATTTGTATGTTAGGATTCTATCAAAAAAAATAAACCTTATTTCTACTTGATAAACAAGCAACATTATTTATATAAATCATATTTATAATTAAATATTAAATAATTATAAAATCAACTATAAGCATGAAGTTATACTTATTTTTAATAAACAATTAAAATATTGTATATAAGCTTTTGACATTAATTTGGATAAGTCGGAAGATTTGATTTTCAAAGATAAATTTGGAAGATTTTTGAATTATCGTTTTTATTTTACACGATATAAAACCTTTTGAATCTATTTTAATTACTTATCGGATATTGAAAACTGATATATTAAAATCAATAAAGATGGATTAAATTAGAATTTAGAATTTCAGTCTATAATAATAAAATGTTGTGTATGTTTAATTTATACATCAAATTAATTGTTTTTAAACAATCCAAATTGTCAAAGGAGTTTTTTTGTTATAAATACGGTACGTTTGTAAATATACCGAAAAGATTTAAAAATCGAAATAAGAATAACACTGTTTTTAAGATAGCGGCATATACAGTATGTATGTAATTTAATTTTTTATAATTGATACAGATTAAAAAGAAAAACAAATAATTCTCTCCGTGATAAATATTGTTCTTTTTAAGAAAAAATAATCCGAAAACCTTAAAATCCCATTTTTCACTACAATGTTACAATCATTTATTTAATTAATAATACAAAAATAGAAATACACGGTAAGGTATTTGACGTGGTTTTAATTATGGTGTAATTAATGACCAAATACTAATCTGGGCGATTATTTTTGAAGATGACAAAGATGCCAAGGATGATTTCTCTAACCTTATTTTCTAAATACAGTGATGCATATATAATGCAAATTTTAGGATCACGATAATAGGTCCAAAAAACCCCTGTTCGCCTTCGAAAATTAAACATATATTAAGCGAATAGGCAATCAAAATGCATTGTTTAACGTGCTAATGACATCATCACAATAAATTGTGTTTCAAATGGTTAAACACGGCTTTTTTTATACATAAGAGACAAACCAAACAAAATCAAAAGTCAGATCGAGTGTGAAATTAACTCCGTTCAATTAAAAACCAAACCATTTCGGTCGTGTATATAACGCATGCGCTTTAACCAAAACTACACAAGAGAAAGGACAATTTTTAAAGAATTTGGAAAGAATTCGACAGAGTCAATCCGAAGATATAAAACATCTTACGTCCATTCGTGTACATTCCGCGCTTTTTACATGAGTTGGAAGAATATCTGCGTAACATTAAGATCCTTTTGTAGAACAAGCGATTGGATGACATCGGAGTCCAAAAGGGAATGAGAGACGTGAAAAGGAAAGATCTTCGGCCAATCCATGTACCGGTTTCCCGCTTATATTGTTTGATTACATGGTGCTAATTACAATTTGGCTAAATTAGATTCATGCCTTGGAATTAACAGGTTTCACTTTTACGGCGGGGGTCGAAATCCGACGGATTACATAAAAATTCCATAACGCAGGGTCCGAATACATGTGGTCGAGAATAAATGGAAAAGGAGGTTTTTATATAGGAAACAAACAAAAATTACATTAATTAATTTCCATACCCGTGAATGAAATCATACTACTAATTCATTTCCTATGTATAAATACCGCGTGTTGGTGGTCAATAAAGACAATAAAAAAATTCTTAACAAGATGAGCGCATGTCCTGATGCAGAGCAAATTTTCACAAGCTTCCCTCAGCTTCGAAAGATTTCGTCAAGAGTGTCGTTAAGGTGTAACTCTGATTCACCAAAAGATTATGTCAACGTTTCAAGAAATAGGTCTGGCAAACGATCGAAGGTCAGGAGGCCCATGAACTCTTTTATGATCTTTAAGGCCATGTGTCGCAAAGAATTGATTGGAGATAGTTTGTACGAGGAAATATGCAAGGAATTTAAAATTGAGAAAAATCGAAAGGCGCATTTGATCCCCAAGATAGCAGCAAAACTTTGGGCGGACCTAAAAAAACGTGGACGTGGACAGGCACCTTTTATCGAATTTGCCCGAAAGGTGAAGAATGAACACGAAAAGGCGTTCCCAGGTTATAAGTATAAACCGAAACGAAAGAACAAGGAATACGGATTCCGTCCGTTCATCCCCGAAGAAAAGTTAACCAAACATAGAGGTGACGAAGCTGATCAGACTTTGGACGCCGGTGAGGTCGAAAATGAAGAACACGAGGATAATCAGGAATCCGAAGTTTACCAAACGTCTTGACTCCCTCGTGATTTTGAAAATTTTTATTTCTCCGATTTCTTTTAGCGAACCTGTCGTCAAGTTTTTTTGCAAGGGAGATAAGCTAATGGTAGTAAGTAAATAACTAATTAATTAAATTAAATCAAATACAGTATAATAATAAGATAGATAATCGAATGAATGAATAAAGTGTGTAAGCATTAGTTCTCGATCTCAAATAGTCTGACATCAGATGCCATCATGCTGTCAAACATGTTGTATGTGTAAACAACGAATGATATTAGCGATTCCGTACAGTGATCCACAGGTAGGTGGGGAAAAGTAACTAGCTATAGGAAAAGCTTGGTCGATTCCGGATTTTTCCGAGTCGTTTCCAAATTGGTCTTATTTACTAGTGAGAATAGATGAGCCTATCAAAGGTAAAGTAGGGCAAGTTAATGATAAACCAGGCAAATCAACCGACCTGGAGGATTCGAATATCGCGCGGTAGATAATGTAATTCAGGGTGTGCTCGTTAATTTTGAAAAATACACGCGTCCTCGGATAAGCTGAGAGAGCGATCCAAATCACATGCCGACATTACATTGGTCGCAATACAAGGCTCAAAATGGAACGTCTTACGTAATTAGATTTACAAGACTAGCCAAATAAGTTCATGTTACGTAACCTTTTTTTTGAAAAAACGCGAGCTCATGATCTCTTTTCTTGAAATCGTCGAACCTTTCGTGACAACGGAGATCTGCATTCTTTCGGTTGGTCTGTTTAGCACAGAGCATGAATTACTGATGATGAAAATTACGCAGGAATGATGCGGATGATTCTTGAGGAGTCAGCGAAGGCAATGTGGACTCTTTGGCAATTAGAAGGTTGCTAGGATTCTTCGGTGTCACTACGCCAGTGTTGCGTTTTGCTTTGGTGACACCTGCAGCGACAATGAGTGGGAAGAAATTGAAGTAAAATTGCGATTCATTTCCTTTTCGATAAAGGCTGAACCTTTGCATCCATAACCTTTTGTCTCAGCAAATGCCTAACAAAAAAAAAAAAAAAAAAAAAAATGCGTAATGCATTATCTCAGGAGTCAATAATCTATGCGATAACAATTTCCAGTTTCGTGAGGTTCAAAACAGGTTTATTTTTTTTTTTTCACATAATAACCAATACAGTATTATCCGGTGCATTCCTGTGAAGTTGGTCATGAACAATTTAAGGTTTACCCGGCTGCTCCTAAAACAAATAAAACCCCCGAGGAAACCATTCAACCGTCAACATCCTTCAATCCCTCCAGAACACCTTCCTCACCCTTAAATCTTGAATACATCTTCCCTCCATTTTCTTCTATTTTCGAGATACAATTAGTTCATCATGGTCCGCGAGGTCAATTACGCATGTCAATGGGGGGAGTTGAAGTCAAAGAAAGGTCTACCGGTGACCGATGACATAAAAGATATCATTCATAAATTTAAACGAGACGATATTTTTAAATCAACGAAATATACCAGCCGAATGTTATTCCAAAGACTCTACCGAGGAAACCAACAAAAGGTCAAGAGACCACCCAACCCCTTCATAATAGTCAGAACCATATTCGGTTTAGTGGCAAAAGAGAATAATGTTTCAATCGGAGACGGCATTTCTCGCAGCACCTTGGCTGGACTGATATGGAGTAACGCGACGCCAGAAGAAATATCTAGAATTCAAGCGATCTTCCGAGAGATAAAGATGATTCACGATCAAAAATTTCCCAACTTCCAATATCGACCAGAGAGAGGCAATGCGACAAATGACAGGTTCTCGAATAAGACTGCCGAAGATTTCAAGAATCATGGTGTTCTCTTCGCCCCTACTTCGACGGCCGCGTACAGTCAAGGACCACCGCCATCCTACATCAACCCCTTGCCATCACCTGTTCCATCCATTGCAGTAAATTGTCCACCCATACCTACGAACAACCATATCTTGGATGGGTTATCCGACATCACAAGAAGAGAGAGAGAAGAAAATAGATATAATGTATATTTTTAAAAAGATATTGAACGTGCATTTATTTTTCTTTGTTTTTTTTTTCATGTACCATCAAACTCTCTTGTACAAAAACCGATTTTTATGATCAATCAATTGTTTAATCTACGATTCAAAAAACGCGTAATTAATAATTCCCTTATCAAAAATGAATTATGATTCAGACACGTGTAAATTTTCCGAAAAAAAAAAATTTTTTTTTTTTACCCTCCTTTTTTATATCCCTCATAAAATCAAAATGTCTAACTAGGATTCTCTTTTTATTCTATGATCAAAGTGTACAGTATATTAACTATATTTTTCTTCCCAATGTACCATCATCATACTAAGTGCAAATGTATAGTATCATGTTAAACAGTGTAACAATACAATATATATGATTTCATTACAATTAATTTCATGTGGCTTATCGTGTATTTTGGATGTTTCGAGCGCCACACGCATGATCCATGTTCAATTTCTCATATTTTAGAACCCATTTTCTAAAAAAAATTGCTACAGACCTGATAGAAACACGTTGAGTTATTACCTGTGGCACCCGTTTAGTTAGTTTTTTTTGCTCGATTACTTATGGTATGGTTAAAATGCCTCACGGAGTTCCTTTCGAAATCGGATGCGGTGTAACCAAGAACCCACGTGTCTTCATGATAGTGTGGCTAGCCGTGGTTTTAACACTAGCCTAATTATCTACAAACTCCGAGTGACACACACACACGGGAGTTCCGCGACCGAATGTAATTTTTCGTTAACGAACGTTTAATTTACAGTATGTATGCGTGTGTGTATGTACGTGCATCTATTCAAGATTACACACGATAAATATTATTTCAATGATTCGGGTGGAGCCAACACATAGTAATTTCACCATCCCCTCCCCTCTCGTGCCAGATTAAACCATAAATGCGATTATTAAAACAGGGTGATTTCTCGGTTTGGTGCCAAAAGCATGATCACACATCACAAGCAGCCGATTTTAAGATAGTGAGCTTTTGAGCCATGTTCAATTCGGTTAGAAGCGTTACTAAAAATCCATCAGCTTCTTTTGGCAAGTAAGGCGCGTCCACTCCTAAAGTCGATGATCGCGTATTTTGCGTTAAGCAGAATGATTTTATATATAGTACAAACCGTAAATCTCTATGGCTTAATGATGAATTTTTTTTTATGAAACATTTCTCTCGATTACTGTATTTCAATCAAGATAATTGTCACTATAGGATAAAAAAGAAAAAAGACTACTCGCCATCAATAAAGTTCTCCTTTGACCCTATACTGTACATTAACTTGCATTTGATGCTTGTTGTATGAATGGGGATGCATCTATTCTAACTTGACGAGCCTGTTTTGGACATGGAAGACCTTGACATCGCGGGCATATTATTATTCGTGTGTTTAAATCTTTACCAATGAATTTAGTAAATTGGCGTTCCTCCGAAATCCTACTATACCTTTTGTCTTACTAAACTGAAAGAGCGCATATCGCATCATCATTCGTGCTTGCATATTGTAACAAAATCGAGAATCCTTACCCTAATCCCGTTAAGCTCGCCAAGAAAAGGATTTCCAGAGAAAATGGATAATTTATATCGATCCAAACAATATACTGTAGCTCGTATGTGGAAATAATGTCTGATTTATTTGTAGTTGATCAGAAATTTCTGATGTGTGGTACGCATCTAAATAAACAAAAAAAAACGGTAAACAGGTCCCCACAACGATGCCTCCTGCCTAAACTAGATTCAAAGTTTTGGACAAACAAAATTGCTTACATTTTCATTTTTGGCATTTTTGGATTTTGACAAAGTAGTGGGTGCATTCCGGTGGCCGACAACACATGCATGTTCGATGCATTACCCATAGTTGAGGAACAAGAACAAAATTTCCGAAGTTTGGAAATGTACTGTAGGGGCATTTTCACATCAACTTGTCACGGAAAACAAAAAGTTACTGGTTTTATCATCGTCACCCGAGGATATGCAATGGAACCATCTACAAAAAAGTTTTGCCCTTCTTCAGAGAACCAACCTTAAAAAGAAGAGTATCAAAGGAATTCGCATTCATTTGCTCATCCGCCGATTTGAACATGGCATTCACTGCCGTGTGGAATCTCAAAAAGATCATTCATTCACCTGCTGTTTGAATGTTAACATTTTAACCTAAGAGATGGTTTGAAACTTGACCTTAAATGGTTCATAGGTCGAATAAGTCGTCTGTATGGTTTATATAATTGACGGAAATGATATAAAAGATCTTGATCTCACCCCGTCGTCGCCCTCTTCTCCCCGAATAGTCTCTATCTTCCTCACCCTCTTCCTCTCCTAAAAGCATGAATCCCATTTACATCAGAAACTCGGAGTACTTGGAAGAATGCTTTATTCACAAACTTAATCTGAATGAACTCTTTGATCCAAACATAACAGCCGAAGAATTGATTAAACCGCTGCCTGATGAGATAAAAAAGAGGCCGCGTTCAATGAACTCGTTTATGTGTTTCAGGAGAAAAGTCTATCTTCTGGCTGTCTCTGGCGGTTTTACGGAAGACATAAAAGATGGCCGATTCCTTACACAGGTCGTGGCAAAAATTTGGAAACGTACAAGTAAAGAGGTGAAAGGTATTTACACTCGGCTCGCACGAGAAGTCAAGAGGATCGACAACGATCGTTACAAGGATGTGAAGGTGGAAAAAAAGAGAATCTGCGAAAAGCAGTTTGTGAACACCTACATGGTCAGCTACGGCCTTTCAATTTCTCGCCGAGGGAAAAATAGCATTTCACCTCGACCCCGAAAATCGTCAGAACGCCCAACGAATCCCCCTGTCGAAGACCGAATCGATTATTCGATTTCTTCATTCGTGGAAAATTCCACGACGATCACCGCAAACCTGATTCCCGAATTCATGCATTACAACGAAGCGCATTCTCACATTTTACTACCAGTATACGAGCAATCTCTGTGTTATAATCCCACGGAATGGTTCTTCAGCGAAAATATGGTTTATCAATAATTCTTAAATTCACGATGTTATTTTTTCTACCGGTTCGATAACTGCGACATTTCGAAATTTCATTACGCGCACTCAAAGAAATAAGAGAAAATCTATCGATTCTCGACTACCACTATTTTTTCCCGATTATTTTATTTCCGTTCGTTCGTTCGCTCGCTCGCTCGTTCCATCGATACTTTTTTATGCTGCCATATGACTTGAATCAATATCATTAGAAAAACATAACCAGTTTTGTACATGTGGAACGTACCGAAGTTCTTCCCTTATCACATAATGAATTTTTTTTAGAAACCTTCATGTTTATTCGGTGTCCATTGATGTGACATACCATAAGTGACATCTAAGATCTATGCACTAAATTATTTTATAGAATTTAACTCCTGCGTATGTATGCACGAGAACAATTAAACTTATATTTGATATGCCTGTGTTCGATTTACTTATTATTATTGTATTAATAATTTAAAAAAACCTGAAACATTTCTACCGAGTCAGCCTGCATTTGTTCATTAATGCAAGCCAATTATTTTCTTGGAGAATAGAGAATGATCAATATACGTTGAATTCAGAGATTGGGCCTTGTTCGCGCACGGAAAGCTCGAATTTCCTTGACGAAAAGGGAAACCTTTCTAAAAAATAAAAATCAAAAAATAAATAACTGTCGTCAAATCAATTTACCAATGAGATGTTTCTCATTTCTTCTGTTCTGTTGGCCTATAGGAATATTTTTCCTGTGCTATCCTTTGGTCACTGTTTATTTCAATCCGAGTACACGATTGTAAAACACGTGCCATACTAGATATTTCACCCCGAGCGATTGTTCAACTAAAAATAAGGTTTCATTATCAGGTGGTGACTCCACCTTCATTTGAATTTATGTGTTTACGTGCTATCTTCGAGATCGATTAGAATCATCATCCGTTCTTCTGCGTGACGATGTGAGATGTTTATCACACAGTTATTATGTTCAATAATACACAATATACTGTATAAATCAATCTTAAGTAATTGGTATGATCGATGTTTGTCATCGCATTTGATATATATTATTCATTTGTTTTTAAGTGGACTTGAGTTAAAATAGCAAAATATCCGATGATGTGTACATTAATAGATAAAGGTTTCCACCGAGCTTGCATTCGAACGATAGAATCGAATTTTCTGCATGATCACCCACCTTTCTCTTAACCCTCACCTTTTATCAAACGTTCGCATGAGGCTTACAAGATCAACACGCTCCCCTCTTTTAAATAAAATCACGTTCGAAAAAAATCAATCTAATGAATATATTTTTGCTTGACCTTGTGATTTTTTTATTTCAGAAATGAGCCTAATGAAACGTCCGACCAATTATCGAAACGTCGAAAAGAGTTTAGTATCGTATAATGTTTTGTGGTGCTCGTTTATTATCATAAGATTGTTTCACACGGTTTCGATTATTACCATTAACTTCAGACGTTGAAAATTATCGTCATATCGCGAGATCGTGGTTATTTTTTAAGGAATAGGGGAAAAAATATTTACAGTATATCTTATAATTAATTAAATTAAAAAAAATGATAGGTGGATAATCGAATAAGGTAAAATGAATAAATGGAGTAACGGAAATATTTACTATAATAACGGAAGTTCTTTACTATAACAGAATAATAATTGGTTGGTTGTGTTTTTTTTAGATTAATATATAGAAACCCGATACATATTCTCAATAAAAAAAATAATAATAACTTTGTACAGTAATTTAAAGTAGCAAGCGGAACCCTGCATAAGTTAATACCTTGCTCTTTTTTTTTTTTTTTTTTGAAATTTACAGTATTAGTCGGATAAATAATATAAACTTATCGGTGTCCCTTTTTGCCTGAAACAGATTTTATCGTGACAAAGTGTAGCGTATAGAATGCGGACAAGTGGCCTGTTGGATAGCTGATAAATCTTTCTTTAAAATAATATTCAATCGAAAATTTATCAAACACATTCGTATGCATCTTTATTGGGAATTCTCTTATCAATATAAGGCGACTTGCCCCTTATCAATATAACAAGACTTTTTTCTTTTTCAACATGCTGTATATGTGTGTGCATTGTACACGGCAAATACTTAAACACTTGAATTTAGATGAAATCAGGTTTTTCGAAAGTGTGACTGATGGCATACTTGTGAAAAAATATATCACGAATATATTTTGATTTTTTTTTTAAATTAAAAATTCAACGCCAACAATATTGTTGTCTGAATAATTTTATACGCCATCTCTAATATTTTATTATTATCCATCTATTTATTTATTTATTTATTTATTCACCTTATTTCGTTCATTGCACATTAAATTAAAATAATAACAATGAGTTTTTTCAGTCTCCGTTTCATAATATGCACTCACCGACACAAAAATTATCCGAGTGACTAGTATAAAATTTGTACTCTAGATACACTGTATTTGTAAGTATACATGCATACTTTTCATTTTTTTTCAACTATTTAAAAATCTTTGTTGCTTACTAATAATAATGATAATAAGCTATCTCGAAGATTATGTAAGTTATTATATAAATGAAATTTAAGAATTACAAAATGTAAGTTGATAATTAAAAAAAAAAATTCTTATCATTATTTTCTTTTTTATCGTTTAAAATTTCTCGATTTGTTTTTTTGTTTTTTTTAAAAAAATTTTTTTTGCTAAATGAAATTAATTATAAATTAAAAAATATTTATTATTATTAAAACTATAAAAATTATTTTTAACTAATTTATATAATAGTTGGAAAATAAAAAATAATTACTTTTTTCAAAAAATTTTTAATTATAAAATTTTTAACATAATTTTTAAATTTTTTTTTGTAATCAAACAAACAAATATTGGTTATATTTATTTGATTTCTGAAATTAAAAAAATATAAAAATATAAAACTTTTATATATAAATATAATTTTAAAGTTAAATAAATTCACTTTTATTTTTTAATAAATTTGAATTCATTGTTTATGATTTATGATTATAATTTATTTTGACAAAATTTTGATTATATTAGATTCTAAATATTTTTTATTTTATAAAGTTTTTATAAAAATATTATTATTAATTAATAGAATTAAAAGCATTATATTTATAATTTTATTTGATTATTTGTTACAAAATCCAATTTAAATATTTTTTCAAATATTTTTTAAATGAAATTTATTGTATTTTTATTTTTATTAAAATATAATTTGTAATTACTGTTTTTTTTTTTTTTGGAATTTAAAATTTGCAAGTTGCCATTTTATTAATTTTATTAAATAAAAAATATTAATTCATTTCATACTATTTTTTTTATTTAAAGTTTTATAATAATAATAATAATTTTTGTTGCTAAAAAAATTATTTTATTTATTTATTAATTAATTAATTAATTTATATTAAACTTTTATTTATTTTTTTTTTTTGTAATATGCTTTGAAATTTAAAAAATAAAAAATTTATTATAAATATTTATGTATTTTTTTTATCTTTTTAATAAAAATTTTTTATATAATAATTTTTTGTTAAAAAAAAAAATCAAAAAGCTCATTACAATTTTTTTATAACAAATTAATAATAATATATAATTTTATTAATGTATCATATATAAACAAATATCAAGTATTTTTTATATATAAAGTTATTTATATACAATTAAAAATATATCTATTCTATATTTTCTATATATATGGAATTAATACTGAATAATTATTACTAGTATTAACTTATCTATTTATTATTATAATCTTATTATATACAGTATATTTATATATTAAGTGAAATATTTTTATATAAGTAATAAAAACCTTATTACTAATTATAAATTAATTATTTGCAAATCCAAGTTATATCTGCACTTGTTATAGAAGAGAGTATACATGTGGCGTAAATTATTTTGTTGTTGACTCAATTCCCAAAATCCTCAAAAATAATTGCGTCATGACTCAATTATTTATATGTTTTAATAGTGACTCAATTAATTGCGTCAAATAATTGCGTCAATTGCGTCAAGGATCTACGAATTTCAACAATATGTATAGAAGAGAGTTATATAAAATACTATTATAAAGATTAACTTTAATTATTTTAGTCACTTGTTATTATTGATTTTTAAAATATACTATTAGTATAATATAACATTACTATTCTTTTCATTTGTAAAACTAGTATTTTTGCTTAAATTTCGAGTTAATTTTGAAGATCTTTATTAAACTTATTTAATCTTAACAATTTTTATTTAAATTATTATCACTTGTAACTAATGACTTTACCTTTTTGATTTATATTTTTAAGGTTATAAGAATATTATTCTTGATTAAAATAGAACAAATTAAAATTAATCTTTTTGAAATATGTAATAGAATAAATCTACTGTCTCAATTAAATTTAAATTAATAGACTTTTATAAAAATTAGATTTAAAACTTTTTTATATAATATTCTATATTTTAACTTATTTTTAGCCTATAATTATTAAAAAGACCAAAAACTTTCTCTTTATATAATCTAATTAAATTTAATTGTATTTTTTAAGAATTATGATATATGATATATACAAAATATCCAATAAACCTATATATAAAGATGAGTATATATAATAATTAATTATATATATATATAGAATATCAGTAAAATTTATATATATAAATTTTTATATTTATCTTTTATAAATATTGAACTAAAATATTATATTTAGAAATCCAAGAATATTATTTATTATACTATTAATTGAAAAGTTTTTTTTTTTTTATTTTCTTATACCTTTTCTTTTATTTACTATATTATAAAACTATTTACATTAATACTATTAGATATATTAAACAAATACTTTTTAAAAATATATTCAAATAAATTATTAAATTTATTATTTGTTTTTTTTTAATAATAGAACAATATTAAATACAAGCTTTTATTAAAGGTTTTCAATTTTATAATATATCAAATATCCTGTATTATTATTATAATAATTAAATATTAGTCTATCTATTTTATATTTAATAATA